GGTGTGACAGCACTCGACAGCTCAGGAAGCGCGCACTTGTTTATGCGTAGCACTGCACAGGCACTTGGAGCAGACAGAGCGTAAGACAGGTAATATGTAAAAATGGGCAGCACTTCTAGACCCATAGAGTTAAAATCTGTTAAGAAAGTCAAAGCCATGCTGGAGATAGTAAGTAATGGAGCAACTCAAGCAAGGTCGTTTTTAAGAAGGCCAGAGATGAGGATTAGCAGAGAGTAAGAGAAGGTTCTCCCAAACAGGAGCACCGGAATACAAAAGAGCACCTTTGCCCATATGAAATGATAACATTTTGATCACATTCTTAAAAAATTGGGGTAGTCAAAGAATAAATGACCAAATTCTGAACTCTGTTAAATAAATTTACAAAATGAAAAGGAGAAATAATTACATAGTGTCAATCTTCTTCCTATTATTATATGTAACAATCAGTGCCAGATTAAAAATTCAGTAAGTCACTTCTATCAGGTACATGTGTTTTATTAAATAGACATTTTTACTTTTAATGGTAACATTTTTCTCAAAATTCCAGAAAGTCACAATAAATCCATGGTGATGTAGGCTTTTAACCAATGATATTGCCTGTGGTTTGCTTTCCAGAAAATTTCTAACTTATATCAGCGTGCTAAAATACATTTTATAATCTAATTGCAGAGAGTGATAAATACATGGCCCATTCTGAGTCACAAGTTGAACTATGTGAAAGTTCTTCACTGATACCGTGCAGTTCTTCATTCTAAGATAGAGGCTTCGTCCACGGCTTCATTTGTACATTCCCAGTGCTTGTATAGTGTCTGTACAGTGGTCACTCAATAAACATTTTGTGAATTGACTGAATTAGGAAACTATGACAGACACTGGTAATTGACTACTTATCGTTCATTCTTTCCTTTTTTTATGAACAGAATCTTGATTTATTTGAGGCAGCAATATATTCATTTAAAATAGACAATCTCCTACTTTTTCAATGAGATGTAAGTCAAAGTCACCACCTGGAACTTCTCAGAAAACTCTTTAAGAGGAGATAAACTTTATCCCCTTACCCTTCACTTTTTCCTCATTTTCCTGCCTGAAATACAGACATATTTAGCGGTGGAGCAGTTATCTTAGGATCACAAGGGTTAACCGCATGCTAAGGATGACCAGAAACTAGAGTCAGTCTTGGTCCTGATGTTTACCTCAAGTAGCTGATTCAGCCTTTACCAGCATGTCCTTGGACCTCGCATTAGTTGTGCTACTATAAAACATTTCTGTTACATGGAGACAAATGGAGTCATAGACATAGACCCTTCGAATCTATCTAAAGTAGTGATTCTCAAGTGAAGAGGAATTGACATTGTAGAATATATGGAAGTGGTTTGTCACTTTCCCAGCCCCGTTCTGATAGCTTTCCAAAAAAAGAATTGCTCTTCCTCTCACCTGAGTGAGAATCACTATCATAATGATTGTTATGATGTTACTATTGGGGATGTCACTTCCCTTAGATGCGTTAGGTTGCTCAAGAAAAAAAAATGTAAAACTTCTGCTCCAGGGAGGCCCATGGAAAAGTGACTACTTGGGAGCTGTGAAAGAGTTGGAGTTTTTACATATTCAGTAGTTATTAAACAGGATGAAAGAAGTATGCCTGAAGCATCTGAGTCCAACCAGAGAAACATCAGAAGATGCTTAGAATTTTCGTATCGACAATTAGGGGATTGACAAAGTTAGGCTAGAAGGGATGAATAGCGCTATCCAAAATAACAGAACCTTAACATTAAATGGCACCTTGGTGGCTATCCAGTTGGATATAGTATATAAGGCAAGATTTGACCTTGATCACATTGTTAGGAGATGTCATCCAACCTTGCTTGACCACTTTCAGAGACTAGGGGTTGATAAATTCACAAGACGACCCATTCCATTGTTGAAAAGATTTAATAACTGGAAAGTCCTTTACAATGAACTTAATGTGGTTGTATCTTAATATTATTACATGTCATTTATATAGCACTTTATATATTTATCATTTCTGACTTGATATAAAAATCATACAAATCGTTTGCAATGGTACTAATTATCCCTATTTGAGCATGTGTAAACGAGTGTAGAGCAGCTACTTATACTTGTACAGGTTTTACAATTCCTAGGTGGAGTAGCTGGATTTGAACTCATGACTATTGAGCTCAAAGTCAAGCTCTATTTCAAGTTGTTATCATTTATTAATTCAATATTGATTTACCAAACCCCTCTCGCTACTGGTCACTATGTTAAGTCCTAAAGCTCTAATAGTGAACAAGACATATTCCTGGCCCTCCTGAAGCTAATAACTAGTAATTGCTTACCAATGAGTCCTACTTTTAGCCTTTGGTATAACACAGAGCAAGTACCGTCCTTCGTCTGCATGCCAGTCGTTTAGTTATCACGTGGGGTCTCTTACCCAAACAAATCATCCTGTTTCTTCAACGGCTCCTACTAAGTCAGTGATTTTACCCCTGGGCACCTTCTATTTTATCAGTCTCTCTCATAAGGAATGGCACCCCAAATCAGACACCACTGCTCCCAATATGGTCATGGCCCCAGGTGATTGGCAGGTTGAATGCTATGAGTGCACCTGGAACTTACTGCACCTATTTTGATTTCTCATGGCAATGTTGTCTCATGTTCACTTTATGGATCACTGAAGCCACCGAAGTGTCATATGGATGATAGTCAAGCCAACTCTTTTCCATACTGTACTCAGGTATTTGATGTTGTACATCTAAGAGCTAGACTTTAATGCATTTCCATTAAATTTCTCTTTATTTTCTGGATCATTATTACATCCTTTGAGCTCTTCCTTATCATGAGTCTGTCATGTCTAAGGTTATCCATATGTCCCAATCTTGTGTTATGAATAAATTAAATAATCATATCTTCTAGGTTACCAACAAAAAAAATGTTGAACTGAATGATTTCAAAGACAAAACCCAGTAACCCTCAATGCAGGCAGATTAGTCCCAATCTGTTAACCTACACTTGCAACTCTATTAATTCATTCATTCCATAAATTTTATTAAATGCCTTATTCTGGGATAGATGCTAAGATGAAAAAATAAAACCACCAGAGTTTGTAAGTTAAGAAAGGTAGACATGTTAACATCCAGTGTGCAATAGTGTAGAGAGGCCACAGAGGAGAGTGCAATTAATTCAAACTGGGAGAAGCAGGTCGAACCTCAAATGGCATCCGACTCAAAGATATATTGATGGACTTTATCAAATATTTTGCTGAAACTACTATGAACTAATTCATTAGATTTGGTATTTCTCCAATGTCCCAAACTTGAACTCATATCCAAACTGAGAACAGAAATTACTTACCATGAGCGGGTTTTTGTGATCCCATTTTAGATCCTACTGGTCTCTTGTCTTTGTATCTCAGAGAAATGCATTAAAACACCATGATCTCCTTAGATCTCTTATGAAGTTAAACAGGCAACATAAATGGTTCTGATCATCTTCTCCCATAAACACCAACATTGTAAAAGACATCTAGGTTACTTGTTTACCAGCTAATTTTGCCTGAAGCCACTTTTCTGATCATGGGATATTTAGTAGGTGAAGTCACATTTACATATTATCCCAGCTCTCGTATTCACTTTCACTTCTTTTTTCCTCCTTGTCCTTCAGCGAGAGCCTCATTAGTTTCCAAGAAGAGGTCCAGAAGCTTCTCCGGCCATGGAGAGACAGGTGTAGATTCCAAACCTCAGTCGTGGCCTTCGTTACACAGCACAATGCTGTTCATTGTACACATCCCCGTTAGTCTGTGAGGTGTGAGATTTTCTTGTAGACTTCAGCATTTTCTCATGCAGTATTTACATATTATTACCAGCATTTTTGAAGTTTCTTTTCCAAATTTTAATTTATAATATTGATTATCACAATTTTTTGGTATTCATTAAGTGTAAAACCATGCGTTAGATATTAGGAAGGTGGAGGTAGATAAGATTATGAACAAGAACTAGTTTCAGCCATGAAGGGAACTGATGGTCCAATAGGGAAGGTAGACCTGCACATGTGTAACACAAGGAAGTGGCTATTCCGGTTTCTTTTTGATGGGCAAGCATTTTGTACAGACTTGAGCTATGTACATGCAAGGCTAAACAGCCATTTTAAAACAGCTTTAAAAATGTCATTTCACTGAGGTGGGGGGAGAGCATAGAATTTGTTTTTATCCCCTCTCCTATGACAAAAACAAATTATCTTTCATGTTTTAACTATGTGGTAAAATCTCACAGTCCGCTTCAGATGAATTCCATATATTTGCATTTAAGTCTGCAAAAGACTTCCAATTACCCAGCAATTGAACCAAAGAGTTGCTAACTTTTCTGAAGTAAAAGAGAAAAATGATTTCTCTTGTTTTGGTAGCATTTCTTTACTTTCTACTAAAGAAAATTATTTCAGAAAGTTGATGTTGTCAAAAGAATTATCTTTATGAATAAAAAGTATAAGTTATGCTGTCTCTCGTTTTAAAAATAACTCACCAAAAGATAAGACCCTTTCCTATTTCTTGTAAGAGAAACTTAATCTCTGTTTTGGAATTAAAAATATATCTTCTTCATGGAGAAAAATCAGTTCACATAGTGGTTATTTAGCTACTTCAAAAATTAGAGTTAATTTACTTTTTCTCTTTCTACCTCTCTCTCTGTCTCTCCCTCTCTCTTCCCCTGTCACGGATTCAGACATTCTCCTTCTGCAGTGAGAATTACCTTATATCTTTCTTGCAAAAATATCTTTGTGGAATAAAATCAGGAAAAGCTTTAATTTTATAACCTTAGAAGTGTTTCATTTTTCTGGAGCAGAGAATAGCCTCAGGACTGAGAGCCACTGAAGGGGTTAATACTGGACTTGGCCAGGCGTCAGTTAAACCTTTTTTCTGGCTTTGCTCCGGGTTTCCCCTTGAAGGGATTTCCCTCCGCCTCTGCAACAAGACCCTTTATAAAGAGCAGACTTTCTATTTCGCTCCTCACTGTCTTTAGGAACTAAAGACTTTTTCCCAGGCACTGTCAAGTGGGACAGAAAGAAGGGTTTTGGAGCCATTATTTTCTCATCACAGCAGCAACTTAAAATGCCTGGGAAGATGGTCGTGATCTTTGGAGCCTTAAATGTACTTTGGATGGTGTTTGCGGCTTGTAAGTTCTCCTTGATCTGTTTCAAATGCTTGCATTCCATTTTAGCCTTGGTTTTGGCTTCAGTCAATTTTGCTATGGTAGTAAAGAAAGGCACTAGGATTTTTAGACAGTGAGAACACTTAACTTTTAATGTGCTATTGAGTATTGCTATATACCATTATAATGTCATAGCTGGAGCTGCAAATTGATGTTTTCTGTATATTTTTTCTCCAATGTCAAATGAGTAATCGGATTCTGTTTCTAGTAAGGTCTATCTCTCTAGTTTCTTGTACTTGATAATGAGATCTAACTTAAAAAATAACAAAACAAGTCTGATAAATGGGCATCAGATAAGAACCGGGAGTTCCCTAAGTGAAAATCACTTTAGCAACTTCTTTGGCAGTGACTCCAGTGAGTTTTGGCTGCCTACAGTTACTTCAAAGCAGTTTAGTAAAGGGATTGGTCAAATCGTATTTTGGACACGATACTAGAACAGAGAAGAGCAGATTACTAAATGAACCAGTGTAAGTTAGCTTTTCTCTTTTTGCCTTCACAGCTCAAGCTTTTAAAATTGAGATCTTCCCTGAATCCAAAATTGTTGCTCAGATTGGTGCCTCCGTTTCACTGACTTGCAGCACAACAGGCTGCGAGTCCCCATCTTTCTCTTGGAGAACCCAGATAGACAGTCCGCTGAATGCGAAGGTGAGAAATGAGGGGACCACATCCACACTGACCATGGATCCTGTTAGCTTCGAGAATGAGCACTCTTACCTGTGCACAGCGACTTGCGGATCTGGGAAAGAAGAAAAAGGAATCGAGGTGCGCATCTACTGTGAGTACTTCAGAGAATCTTGGATTTTCTCTCAAGTTTGCCCTAAATAAGTTTTTTTTTTTTTTTTAAATAATATTTTTAAAAGAAAAAATTGGCCATGTCTAGATTCCTGGCTAGAGCGCATAATGCATCAAGAAAGTTAGAGACAGATGAGTCTCCCACTACCAGTCCAGGAACTCAAATCTTGGCTTCTCTTTCCATCTCTGCCACAGACATGATGACTGTAGGTAAAATTCAGCTGCTCCAGGGTTTGATTTTCTTAGCCATAAAATGAAGATCTCTAAGGTTTTTTAAATTTTATTTTCCTCAAATTTTTATTTGCTTATATCTTTACCTATTTACTTGGCCATGCATCTAAATTTTTTATGACTGCCATCCTTTGGGGGTTTTCCATTTATTTATTCGTCTGCAATTTGGTACTTAGAATCAGTTTAAGCAGGCGACATATAATTTAGTAATAGGCTTCCATACAGAAGTTTCCCCTTAGATATGAGAAAAATGTCTGTATACAGTTCACTCATTTGATTTTAGTGTAAATAAATTTAAGAGCTCCTTTTGGTTGTTATTGGTGGTGATGGTGGTGGCGGTGGTGTCATCAAGCCCTGATGCTCAACCGCTCAACCTCAGGGGTATTTGTAAAATGAATTCGATTCACCTTGTGAATGTGAATAAATACCCCTAGTTTACCGTTTTACCAAAATACATCCCAATCTACTCTCAATCCAGCAAATAAAGTTAGCAAGAGGAGTAAAAAAACTAACCTGAAATAAATCACCTGCCTTTGCTTACTGATGACTGCTCTATCAAAATAAACAACAAACAAAAAACTGCAATTCCTTACAGTCATCTCCTCATGAAGACGTCATTTGAATATCTTGTAATTGTGTCATTTCCCTTCAGCTGTAGTGGAGTTCAGCTTTGCCCAGTAACTCTAATTGATTCTTCAACAAACGCCATGTGTACCTAATGCTTTCTGAGGAAGTGCGCCTGGCTGGCTGCTTTCAATTACGCCAGTCCTCCACGCATACTTTAAGTCTGTGCAGCCTCCTGTGCTCCTCGAAAGACCCCCTTACATAAATACAGGGAAAAGTAGCAACTTCTTATGTTACTTGACAGCAAACTGTGGGGATTTCAGGCACATTTCTTATAGAATATGAGGGACAGAAATAATTGGTGGAAAAATGAAAAAGACTTTTTTTTCCCCCACAACAAAACATTTCCGGTTCCTTTGCTTTTGCTCACAAGTACAAAATAGTTGGAGATTTTAAAAAGAGAAATGAAGACCCTTCTGGCTTTAATTAACTTGCCTGAAGTTTTTCTTTAAGTATGTCTGTCTCTCATGTTTAGCAGTCCTGTCTGCATTCTACATTTGATTGTAATTAGAGTTGGAAACTTTGTGTTCTTATTACACAGTCTCAAATCCAGTCGGTGTGTTACCATCGTGAAAGTTTGTAATGAAAAGACGGCCCTTTCAGAGGCGGTGGTGGCTGACTGAAATAGTGTGTTCCCGTGGCTCTGAAAGGCTCAAGTAGGGTATTGGTTAGACATGAGTTAGGTATTTCAGGAGACAAATCCGCCTTCCAGAATTTAAAGATTGCACAGGTGTTCATTTCTGGTGGATCAGTTCCTGTCAGAGGCACCATTTGCAGAAGCCAATTCTTTAACGTTGCTTTTTTATTTATTTATTTTATTTTTTAGCATATCTTGCCTGATATTCTTTGCAATGACAAATTGAGCCTCTGGTTCCTTATCTGTAAAATGAAAATATATTTGCCCTGACTAAAAAAAGAGACTGTGATTTTACATAACATAAATCTGCAGTAGAAATCAGAAATATAGAATAATAGAAATCCTGAGTTTAAATCCCAGATTTACCATTTATTAGTTGTGTAACTTTGGGTAAGTTATACAGATCTGCTAAGTCTATGTTTATATGTATGTGAAATGTGGTCTGTTCCTCTAAGGGTTATTGTGAGGTTAAAATAAAATCATTTATGTGAAATGAATGGCACAATTATTAAGTATTTATTAAACATTAATCTCTTCTCCCTTCTTTTACTCTAATAACATGCAGCCCTCAGTACATGCAGGATAAGAACAGAAGAACTCACTAAAAGGTGATTAACTGTGATTTGTAAACCAACCTGAACCATAAAAAACAATGAATCTTGACTGTATTAACAAAAACATTAGATTCAGTTTGCATTGCATTAAATCAGTGAGGGACCTTATACAACATGAGCAAAAAGCCCACTCATATGTGTTTGTTTGACCTTTTCAGCTTTCCCTAAGGACCCAGAGATTTACCTGAGTGGCCCTCTGGAGGCTGGAAAGCCGGTCACGGTCACGTGTTTGGTCCCCGATGTTTACCCATTTGACAGGCTGGAGATGGATTTGTTGAAGGACAACCAAAACTTGAAAAGTCAGAACTTTCTGGAGCCTACAGAGAAGAAGTCCCTGGAAACCAAGAGTCTGGAAGTAACCTTCATTCCTACCAATGAAGATACTGGAAAAGCTCTTGTTTGCCGAGCTAAATTACTCATTGATGAAATTGAGATTCATTTTGAAGAAAGGGAGGCCACCGAAAAACTGCAAGTTTACAGTAAGTGCTTGTGTGATGTGGACAAGTCTTTATGGGAATTTAGTCTTGGATGTATACAGCAATACACCTAGCAGCCAAAGTCAAGAAGAAATTTGTTTTACTCTATTTTTATTCACTGAGAACATAATATTTGTCAATAGCAATATTCAATGAAAAGAGCACTGCATTTGGGTTAAGAAAACTCCAGCTTAAGTTCTGGCTCCATTAACCGTGTGAATTTGGGTCACTTAATTTCTCTATTTCTCAGTCTATCAAAGGGAAATAATATACTCTTACAATATGCCTTGCAATATCAAGGCATAGAGATTTTACAAGGTGAGCACTTATTCGTGTGTGTGTGTGTGCTCACACGTATACAAGTGCATGGTGTGGGAGGGTGTGGATGAGGTTTGATTGTCTTATAGTCCCAGAACTGTGTAGGAGTGGACTCACTGTGTTCTGTTCTAGACAAAAATGCTATGTTCTGCTCTGGACACCACAATGAAAAGGAGTACTACCAACTACAGTATGTTTAGCTGAAAAAATAAGATAGGAAAAATTTACCAATATTTTTAAAAGAATAGACAATATAGAGGATATTTTTTCTAAAGAATACAAAACTTGGAAAAGAGAGCTATAATTTTTTCAAAAACAATCATCTGGAAAGGGATTTAATTTATTCTGTAACAGCAGAGGACTGAACTATGACCAATTTGTAAAAGTTAGTTACCAAAAGGTAGATTTCAGCTCAATGGAGGAAATGTTCTAATAACTAGAGCTGCCCAAAAATCAAATGGACTGTGTTGTAGGGATTGATAGCCTCACACCATATTTGTTGAAACGAACTTAGGTGAATACTTGGCAAGGATGCTGAGATGAGATTCCTATCTTATCCAGGAAATTCTTCATTTTCGATTATCCATGGCCATCTGAAAACACCAAACATCAAAAAAGTAACTCAACCAAATTATTCAGCAATTGGATTGACTAATTTTTATGACTTTGCAATTCTTTATACTAATTCGACAGAGTAAGTTTGTCAGATTTGTGGAAGCACATAAATACAGTCTGAGAAATACATTATCCCTGTTGGATCAAGATGATTCTTAGCAATTACTAATATTGTGCCCTGCCTTTTCAGTTGCACCCAGGGACACAATGATCTCTGTGAATCCCTCCACAAGGCTGCAAGAAGGTGGCTCTGTGACAATGACGTGTTCCAGTGAAGGTCTACCGGCTCCGCAGATTCTCTGGAGCAAGAAATTAGATAACAGGAATCTACAGCTCCTTTCTGAGAATGCAACTCTCACTTTAATTGCTATGAGGATGGAAGATTCTGGAATTTATGTGTGTGAAGGAGTTAATATGATTGGGAGAAACAGAAAAGAAGTGGAATTAATTGTTCAAGGTAAGTAGAATGGGACAATATAATGATACAGTTGCTGTCATTGGGATTTGAGCAATATTGAAAGAGCATCGATGCCAAAATTGCTTCCTTAAGTTTTATTAATGACCCATCTGATTATTATGTAATTTAGCACAATTATATATTCATCTTACACATACTTGTAATATTTGAGTGCCTGTTACATAATAGGTGCTCAGAAAATATAAGATGAAAAAATTGTAAACATGGGCAACACAAATTTTTAAAATGTGAAAACATGGGTTTTAAACTTGGATGGTTAAAAAAACAAAATTCAAACTCACCATCAGTAGATGAACTCAGTTGGATGTTAGATTAGTATTTCAAGAGACTAGGAAAGATATTACACTAGTAAAAGCATGTAAAGCTAATCATCCATCCCATAATAAGCTGTATCCCATTTCAGTGAGAAGGAAATGCGTTCTGGGAAATGCCTTCTTGTTTTGCGCTTTGCATCACAGGATACTAAAAACCTTAAGTACTGAAGAGAGCACTGAACTTTCAAAGGACCTTTCAGTTACCTAATAGTTACTCCCACAGGAGCCACAAATTCACATCGTAACATACGTAGCCAATGTAAAAAAAATGATCTGAGAATTGTTCACATGCAGGAAGTGGCTCTGTTTTTAAAGTTTCCCATTCTCACACTAACATATAAGGAATCTCGAATCTGGGCATTACTCTGAATGATCTGTCTCTTTCAGAATCTAATAGCATATCTGTTTATTGAGGTAATTTGAGCAAAGCTTACTTTAGAAGATACTACAAAGTCACAATTAGACAAACCAAACTGAGAAAAAGACCCAGCACAGATGAGACCCCTGCACGACACGGTGTATTTGGATTATGCCTGACACACTGGAAACTCTTAAATTATTTGTACTGTTGTCCACTATTACAGGGATTTGTTAAACTATATTTGAGCACAGATTAAATTATTTTTATGAAAAGATGTCACTGTCTTGACAAATTTTTATCCCCATTCATTCTGTTAAATGAATGAATCAACAGACTATTGTGAGTTGATTCTTCTACTATATTTTTTTATTTTTCAATTGCAGTTGACATGCAATATTATATCAGTTTCAGGTATACAACACAGTGATTAGATATTTATATAACTTATGAAGTGATCACCCCAATAAATGCAGTACCCATCTGACACCATACATAGTTGTTAGCACACTACTGGCGCTATTCTCCATGCTATCCTCTACATCCCCATGACTATTTTGTAACTACAAATTTGTACCTTTTAATCCCCTCCCCCTTCATCCATCCCCTCAAGCACCCTTCCCACCCCCAGTTCTGCAACCATCAAAATGTTCTCTGTATCTACAAGCTTGTTTCTGTTTGTTTGTTTGATTATTCTGTTTTTTGGATTTCACATATAAATGTAATCATACAGCATTTGTCTCTGTCTGACTTACTCTGCTCAACATAATACCTTCTGGGTCCATCCATGTTGTTGCAAATAGCAAGATTTTATTCATTATTATGGCTGATTTATATTCCACTGTATATGTACCATCTCTTCTTTATCCATTCATCCATCGATGGACACCCAGGTGGCCTCCATATCTATTGTAAATAGTGCTTCAGTGAACACATGAATGCACATGTCCCTTTGATGTAGTGTGAGTTCATCCTTAAAAAATATCTCATTCCCGATGGTCTCAAGGTGGAAAGGAATAATGTTTTCTTGGCACAGGTGTTAACTTAAAGGAAATCAGATTTTAAAAGACCATAAATTGGAATGTGGTGAAAGAAGAAAATAATCTTACCTTCTTTTTTTTCTTGTTCTTTTTTCCCTCAGAAAAACCATTTACTGTTGAGATCTCCCCTGGACCCAAGATTGCTGCTCAGGTCGGTGACTCAGTCGTGTTGACATGTGGTGTCACAGGCTGTGAGTCTCCGTCTTTCTCTTGGAGAACCCAGATAGACAGTCCTCTGAGCGGGAAGGTGAGCAGTGAGGGGACCACATCCACGCTGACCCTGAACCCTGTGAGTTTTGAGAATGAACATTCGTACCTGTGCACTGTGACCTGTGGGCATAAGAAACTGGAAAAGGGAATTAAAGTGGACCTCTACTGTAAGTAGTTTTCAAAATCGTTTACTGTTTTTTCCCCCCCATTGGAATAAAAATAATACAAATCTGTGGTATACCATGAGATCCATGTTTTTAGAAAGGGAATTTAGCATTGTGAATTGTTCCTAAATCTTCGAACCAGAATTTTTTATATAACTTAATTGGCCAAAATCCTAAGTATATATTACAGAAGCACACAGCAGCCACAATTCTTAGTTTGTGTCTCGTCAGGACTCTCATCATGCACTTGAACGCACTACATGCTCACTGTTTCCCATCCCCTCTCTGTGTAGATGGGGCGTTTCAAGGTAGTAGGGGGCAAGGAGTATGGGAGGGGTCAGTTTCCATTTGGATAACTGGATAGGAATGCCTGCTGCTCAGCTATTCCATTTGGGGTTGTGCCCTGAGCCTTCTGTTTAGAAAGCTAATTGACAGGATGGGAAGAATGAGGCAACGGGGAGCAGGAAAAAGCTAAAACTGGAGACAGCCTATAAGAGTGGTCACAAGGGATGATGTGTGGCAGCAGCTCAGGTGAAGAGCAGAACCAGAGATAACCCTAGATCTCAATATTGATTAAACTACATACATACACTACACATTTTCCTGCTATTCTTGTCACCTTAATAAAATCCTTTACAACCTTAAATCTCTATGAAATCGACATTGCTGGAGTTTCTCAGTTTATTACGAATAAGGAACAAAATGTGCAAAGTAACCACAAAGTTATTTTTTGAGAGGGTTAC